TCTGCGAACGCGCGCGCACACACACACACACACACACACACACACACACACACACACACACACACACACACACGGCTGGGGAAACGCAAGCTGGCTTACTCAGCCACACAAGAAACACCAAGGCAGAGTGAGTGGACCACAGGACTTGCCACACAAGGGCAAGAACACACAGGGAAGGCTACTGAAGCAGATGTTAAAAGATGGCTGGAGTGGTGGAGGGGCTTTGTTTGTTGAAGATCTGTCCAGAAGCCCCTGAGGCCTCCAGCCAGGTACTCAGCAGCAGAGCAGTAGGCAGGAAGACAAAACAGGATCAGATGCAGTGAGGTAGCTGTGGGGGAGGGCAGGAGCAGTCAGTCAAGTAGGAAGTAATCCAGTGCAGGTGTGGTGTTGAGTGGTACAAGGTGGTGCAGCAGGGAATCTTCCTGTCTCCTGAGAGGGGGCAGCAGCAGAAACAACGACAGCAGCAGCAGCAATAGGACCAGTGATTGTGGGAGCCGTCCAGTTCAGCCAAGCAGGGTGTGATTCTGGTGAAAGTGCAGGTGAAGGTAGGGGTGGCCTGCCAAGGCAGCTGGGGCAGGCAAGGCACCTTTAGGCTCTGGCAGTGATGGTGGGATAGGAGGGGCCTACAGACAGTGCAGGCTCCCTCCCCAGGCTGTCCCCCAACCGCGGATTGACAGCGGTCTGGGCAGCAGGCCGGAACAGGAGTGCGGAAGCTGGGGTGCGGTGCTGGGGTGTGGTGTAGTGCAGTGGGCCTCTCCTCGAGGGGGGGCAGCAGCATGCAGCAGAGGACCCCCCCATGGGGAGGCAGCAACAGCAGCAGCAGCCCAAGGCAGAAAGGGGTGCAGCCAGCTCACTCCCAAAAACTCTGAGACCAAGCCAGCAACTAGCAGTAGCCAGAGGCAGGAAAGGGCCTGGCCATCTTCTCCCAAGAAGCTCCTGAGACCAACCTTTCAGCAACCAGCAACAGCAACAGCAGCCTGGGACAGGAAGGGGTATGGCCAACTTCCTCCCAGAGGCTCCTCCCCCAGAAACTCCTGAGGGCAAATAGCCCTGAGCTACTTGACAGGGCACCTTTTTGTACTGATAGGGCCAGGACAGGGCACCTTTTTACACTGCTGGGAACAGCACAGGTGCTGGTCCTGGGCTCTAGCTCCCCCTGGCTGCAGATCCAGGAGGACTTGGGCAGGGTTATTTTGCCCCAAGTGGCACAATTTGCCCCACACCAAAGTGCATGTCCGGGCACGTGCGCGGAGGCAAAAAGCCCCAGCTCAAATTTGCACTGCTTCTATTTGAGCTGCTGCAAGTGCATGTGCTTGCATGTGTGGATGCGTCCTATGGCTCCAAGGTCCATGGGTGTGAGTTGATCAGCATGTACACCCCCCAGTATTGCAGTAGATCCTCTACAAAGGATATCACCAAGCCAGCAATTTTGGATTCTGCTCTGGCTGCCAGTTTGCATATCTGGCTCATATACTTAGCCTAGAAGAACAGCAAGATGGCCAGAATGCCTCAGTCCCTGGTCTGTTTCATTTTATCCAGCATGGTTCTCTCAACCTTATTCTACCTGGAGCCCCAGAAGAAGATGAACATGGCCCTCAGGACTCTACAGGTGGGTTGCTCTGCACAGGGAATGACCAGCACGGTGTATGGAAGCACTGGAGCAACGCTGCCATCATAAACGCCATTGCCCTTCCCCCACTCCCACAGCAACAGGCAGTGCATGTTCCACAGTCCCAGTCTCTGTTTTACCTTGGTCTCAGTCTTCTCCCACACTTTCTGGCCTCTTAGCTCTGGGTTGAACTCCACCCCGATGATCTTTACCTGCTCACAGGGGATGGAGCTCCCCAGGGCAGGTCCCTGAGCTTGCCTAGTACTAGGCAGGTGCTTTTGCTCATGTTGAGCTTGATCCCTGCTGCTGCTCTGTACACCTGGGCATGTTGCAGCACTCTTTCCACTGACCACTTGTCCCTGCATAGGATGTTGAGGTCATCCATGTAGGACAGGACTTTTGTCTCTGCCCCGCTGCCCATGCGATTCTCCACTCCATGGATCCCTGGGCCTCTCCTGAGCTGATGGACCAATGTTTCCTGTCATAGTGGGGAATAACCTGCTGAGCAATACCAGAGGGGCGAGGCCCTGAGAGGCACCCCCGCCGGATCCCAGAAGTGGGATGTGGATGCCACTAAGCTCCCTGGGACCTGGGACTTACCTGCAGGGCAGATGGCGACACAGACAAGAGAGCTCCTGGCACCATGTCCGCCTCATTTTACCAGCCTGTGCTGGGTGCGGATTGGCTGGCACATTGGGGAAGATGTCACAAGAATGCGCCATGCTGGCAGAAGGGGGAAAGACTGGGACCACAGCTGGAGAAGTGTGGAACCCAGCTGCAGGATGCTCCAGTAGGGATGAAGTTAGCAGGGTCAGAGCCTGCTTGCCAGGCTAGAGGCTCAGATGAGCCTCTAGCCCTAGGGACCTCTCCCCATGGAGAGGAGCAAGCAATAGGTGATGGGTAAAGCCCCAGAGGAACATCGCCTTCCCTAATGAAACAGCCAGAGCAGCGAGTCTGTTCCAGGAGGGGATCTGGGGTCCCGTCATTACTTTGAGTTCAGCAGTCCTTGATATTTTGAGTTAAAGGCATGCTGGGTTGGCCCCACCAGGTGTAGAGGCTGAAGGCCAACGAACAGTGTTGGGAGGCTGAAACATTAAGCCCTGGCCATTAATTCCTCAGAGAGTGGAGGGAAAAAGGGACAGAATTTATCGGCCCGCCTAGGGGCCAGAAAAGGGGCTTGACATTGCTAGGCTGTGCAAAGGGGAGAAGACCCGACACCCCATGAAGAGTCCAGACATGGATGGCTTGGCTGGTCGGACCAACTGCATTGCAAGTGATGATGGATTTGGACACTCATGGTTGACACAAACCCATGTGGTTGCAGGGTAGTGATCCAAAACGAAGTTGGGAAAGACTCTTTAACTGATTGAGACCACTAGCCGGACACAAGCCCAGCTAACTCAGTGGTCTGCTTACTGTGCCATCCTTCCACCAGATGGTCAGCAGCCCGGCTATACTATAAGATGTGGTTGGTGCATGGATAGGGGGTAAGGGAAGGTGGAGCCAGAGGACCAGTGACCCAAGATACTCATGAGGGCGAACTCAAGCAGCCAAAGGATCCTCCCCTTCTATTAATAAAATCAAGAGGTGGAAGGCGAGACAGAGTGTGTGCCCTATGAGCAAGAGTGAGCAGAAGCCAAGCTGTGCAGTCCTAAGAACTGGCGCTCAACAGATGGGAGTGCCTGGTCCCGGCGACAGAGCTGAGTTGGGCATGGTCACCGACAGTTCCATTACGCAGATCAAAAACATCAGAGAAAGTGGGCATACCTTTTGGATGTCTAACTCCACCATGACTGGGGTGGTCATGAACCCATTCACCAGCAACCTGCTGATCACATTGGTGTACAGTACTTTTATCCATGCCAGAAAGGTTTGGGGGGTCCCCCATCTTCTTCAGTGTCTTGAACAGGTGTCTGTGGGATACCCAATAGGGCTGTACAAAACAGCACCATTCCGTTTTGCCTTGAGTTTAGATGGTTCAAGGGAACAGTGTTTCGTATAGAATTTAATTTCAAGTCGAAACAGCTGTTCCGTTCCATCGAAACAGAAACCCTCTTTTGACGCCATTTCGAGTTTCGCTGGGGATGGGAAGTCAGACCAGTTGGGCTGACTTCCCGTCGCCAGTGCTACATTGCACCAGGGCGGGAGGCAGCTCAGCTGCTAGATTGCACCGGGGGTGGGAGGCAGACCAGCTGAGCTGGTTCCTGGGGCCCCATGTTTGATGTTCAAGCACAGGGCCCCGGGGAGCAGCCCAGCTGGGCTGCCTCTGGCCCCCAGCACAATCAAGAGGATGGGGATGATGGATCTTGCACTGGAGATGGGAAGTTAGCCCAGCTGGACTGACTTCCCATCCCCAGCCTATCGTTGAAACATTTAAACTTTTGAAACGTTTTGACCAGCTTCATTTTGTTTCGAGGCTATTTCAACCAGCTTTGTTTTGTTCTGATTTTGCTGTTTCAACCTCGAAATTAGTTGAAGCAGTGTCAGAATGAAATGGCTGGCGAAATTTTGCACAGCCCTGATACCTAATCAAAGGACTTCTCTAGGCTGAGGTTAAGCACAGAGACATCTATACCCCTCTTCTGTTGGTAGTACAGCACATCTCACACTTGCAGCAAGGCTCTGTGTATTTGGTACCGTGGCACCTTGCATGACTGGTCCTTGTGGATCACTGCAACTATAACAGTCCCAGAAGGTGACGTAGGATTCCTTCAGCAGGCTGTGTTTTGCAGTTTTGCAATGAGCTCCCTGCAAGCTGGCAGAGTTCCACCCTGCAAGGGGCTGGAAGGGAGAGGGAGGAGGGTGGTCAGTCAGGGGGCGCCATGTGCACGTGTGCCTAGAGAGCAGCTCAACCAGGTACATGGGGTGGGGTGGGGGTGGGGATGAGGCTCCCTTAGGGAGGGAGGGAGGGATTTGGGCAGGGCTTGGGATGGAGCTGGGGCTGAGACTGCTGCCCAGCTGGGTGGTGTGTGGAGCTTGGGGCCAGAATGTGTGGACGCAGGGCTTTGGTGGGGAGTGGGACAGGGTTGCAGGCAGCTCATCTCAGGGGGGCTATTCCTTGTTGCTGTGCACTCCTGGGACGGGAGGCAAAGGGTCTATGCCCCCCAGACCTGTATGTGGGGTGGGGGTGGGGCGGGCTGCCTGCTGTGGGCTTGGGTTCCCCACCCTGCTGCCTTCCCCTGGGGCCTCCGCACTGGCAGGTGTGACCCAGTGTTGCAGGGCAGAGTGGAGCCGCACAGGAGAGCTGCTTGCCACTGTGAGCTCTGCACTGCCTTGGCAAGGTGCCCCCTGCCTGCCTGGCAGCAGTGAGGGGCACAACCTTGTGCCATTGCCTCTGCTGCAGCCATGCTTGCAGGGGATGCACTACCACGGTAGTGTGAAACTCGCAGCAGCAAGCACCTTTCCTGTGCAGCCCCAATCTGCCCTGTAGTGCCAGGTTATACCCTCTGGGCTGCGAAGACCCTCGGGGAGGGCAACAAGACAGGAGTCTGAGCCCACAGTGGGCAGTCCACCCCTGCTTTGTGCACGGATCTGGGGGGCATAAGCCCCCTTGCTCTCTGGGAGTGCGTGCAGCCCCTGGGAGAGGGCCCCACCCCCTGCCCAAGCCCGCAGCAGGCAGCAGGTTGGGAGCTAGGCTTCCCTCTGCTGCAGCAGCTGCTGCCTCCTGCCTGCAGAGGGCTGTGGACCCAGGTCCCTGGCCCCATAGCCCTGGCAGTTGGGGCTCCCCCTCCAGCAGGGCTGGGGGAGCAGGGGCTGTGGGTGAGGGGATAAGGGGCACCAGCAAGGCCGAGGGGGGCTATGGGAGAGAAGTGAGGGGCACGTGCAGGGCCAGGGGGCTGTGGGAGGGGAGTGAGGGGCACCAGCAGGGTGGGGGCTGTGGGTGGGGAGAGAGGGCACCAGCAGGGCTGGGGCTGGGGGTGGGGATTGTGGGGGGCCTTTCATTTTATTTTTATCAGAGAATTTGTCATTTTTTATCATTGACAACCAGGATCCCTGTTAATAATACAGCCCTCTGCTTCTCTTGCCTCTTACGTCATAGGTCCACTAGGAAGTTAAACTCTACCAGGTGCTACCAAACCCCAGCAGGACCATTTGGAAAATGAGGATTGACTGCAAAAGTGCAATGCAGTCTTGTCTGCTCCCCCCTTGACTTCAGTGGAACTACTCACATGATAAGTACTTGTGAAATAAGGACTAATGCATACATGTATTATGTAGGCAGTATAAAGCATATGAAGTCTGTTCATTCTCTAGCTTTTAAATGTATGGGTTTCATAAATGGTGTGAAAAATAATATTCATATATTTACTTCACAGTCATAAGTTTTAACGTCCCTCAGTTGTGTTTTTGTGATATTTCTAACTGAGTGTACAACTGCCTACCAAAGTTAGATAAAACTGCCAGATGCTCAAGAAAGATGGCATCTAAGACTCACCAATGAAGTGCTGTTCTTGAGCTCTTTATTATATTGTGCTGTCTCAGAATCTCTTCAATCTCTCATGCATATTTAACAACGAGTCATAAAACCATATGCAAATTAAGCAATTTTATTGATTAATGAATTTAAGCTATCAAAGAGGAAAACATATATTGGTACTGGTTAGCAAAACAATATTGAAGCAGAATTTCGCTGAAAAATGATGTGTGCAGATGACAGAGAGAATCAGAGTGTTCAAAGGGTGTTGAACACAAAACAGGTCTCTTCAACTGGTCATGTGGAAATATTCACAGTCTTCCCAGCAGAGAGTAAAGTACTTGCATTCTGCCAATCAGTCCAAATTATCTTAAAGCTTTTCTCATCAGTTTGATTTTATTTTGCTTATTTACTTTATTATAGAAGGGGAAACAAATGAGAGGGAGCATCTTATTTATGTGAAAAGCTGCCTATTTGAATAATTAAACTCAGTTATACCCCTAACTCTTTTTTTTCCCCCACAGTTTGCAGTCCCTGATGAACCGGGAGACATCTGTTCCCTTGCAGTGGTTCCTCCATGCTACCCTGTGGAAGGAAAAATAATGTTAACTGATAATGGCAAACTCAGCACTTAGTCAAAAGCCCCCAGGGGAGAAAAACTTAATAACCTTAATTTATGCAGGTGCTGTTCTGCCGAGGGCTAAACTAATAGAACAACTCATTTGCCACCAGTCAAATCCTGGCTTTTCAGGTCTCTATCGAACACAGCCTGCTTAAATCACCACAAGCCAGTTGGACTTCGGAGCTGTGCATGTCAACTACAGGTTGAGATTATCAACAGCTCCGAAAAGACTGTAACATAGTTGTCCAAGGTTGCCTGCTCACTGACCAGCAGCTCTTCATACTAAAGAAAACTGGGTTCTTCGTATCACTACTCTCTATTGGATGGAATAAAAATTGTTTGTATTTTAAGTTCTTTACTGTTAAAAAGTAGCAATGGCTGTTCACTTTTAGCTCAAGAAGTCAGGCTAAACTTCTATGGAACAAATATTTTTGCTTTATCCCCAATGCCACCATGAATTATGAAGAGATTCTGGCATGTAGGATCACAACAGCCTTGACATCCTTGATGATTATAGATTTGTTGCATTGGAATTTGAACTGCAGGAATCTCAGATGCTCCAAAATTAGTTATCTAAATAGAAGTGTGCATATCTGAGATTCAGTGGACACACACTGCACTGAACCTGGGCAGAAGGAGTCAACTGACTGTCCTGGAGATAGCAGCTGAAGTTGAGCCTAGAACACTTGTCTCCAATAAAATGTCAGGAAGGAATTATAAGGGAGGATGCTAGTTTCAGGGTTAACCTAAGAGAGAGAGTTTGCATTGGAGGGAGAGAGCACCTAGGGGGTGGGATGATCTAGGAACTGTCAGAAGAGCTAAGTCGAAAGAACAGGCTTGGATCAGACTGAACTGGACTAGACATCGTGCTGTCTGACCCTTACTTTGTCAATGAAGTCAAACCCAGGAAGTGGCTTTTGAACACCAGCACTGGGACTGATGTTTAAAAGCTGGTGGTAAAGACTCATCACAGTATCACTACCCTATGTGTAACAAAATTATAACTGGACTGCACATAAAAATGAGCCTGAGGCCTTATACTGCTAGTGACTAAAAGATTTTTCTTCGTTCTGTGGACTAGGGATTTTTGGAGCAGAAAGATGAGTTTTTCTCTACCCTGCTAAAGTTTCAAATGGTCTTGATGTATGTTGTAGTTACAACTGTGACCACTTATACACCCATTAATCTATTACAATATTGACTCTTAGTAACTGTGTAAGTTCTGAATTCAAATGTTAAAGTATAAGCATTGAGATCTTTGAAATCTGCATGTTGCTTCTCTACCAACTTGCCCTTAACCAGATCTTATTCTTTTAATTGGCAACCCCCACCCTGTATTGTACAAAGACAATTACTGTAAGCAACTGTTGTTCTTGCAACAATTGAAAACATACCATGCGCTCATGCCCTGTGGATCTCTGACAATCCTCTTTGCACAGTTAACAGCTACTGTAATATCTGGTTGCAGTAACTCTAAGAAAACAAATATACAAAATAAGAACAGTGGCAGGAAGAAATAATAAAAAAAAAATCAACATTTTCCCATCATTTTTGATTCAGTAATCTTAAAAAATAATCCTCAAATTAGCTCATATTGATTAATTATGTTTATTATAGTAGTGTCTGAGGACAAATTGAACATTGAGCCCCATTATGCCATAGACCATACAGAAAGAGTAGCAGACAGTTTTTGCCCAGAAGGGCTTGTAATTTAAATAGATGAGACAGACACTACATAGAGAAAAAGGGTATAACGCACACAGGGTGCATCTACATAAGACCCTTTACTGTGCAGCACACTAATATACTGTGCAGTAAAGCATCACTGTCTACACATGCACAGCTTTTACTGTGCAGTAAATTTGTCTACTGCACAGATGGCTACCACCTATAGATACTGGTAGTAGATTAACTACACAGTAGCACATGTGTAGACAGTTGACCGGGAGCAAATAGTTCCCAGTCAGCCCAAGCAGCAGGGGACAATCAGCTGATCAGGGCATTGTGCTGGGAAACTGTCCCTTCCCCTGA